ATTGCCCACTTCCTTCCTTCCTTCCTTCCTTCCTTCCTTCCTTCCTTCCTTCCTTCCTGGGCTCCAGTGCTTCCTTCCTTCCTTCCTTCCTTCCTTCCTTCCTTCCTTCCTTCCTTCACCATGTCCAGCTCTTCCTTCCTTCCTTCCTTCCTTCCTTCCTTCCTTCCTTCCTTCCTTGCTGGTCTTAAACTCTTCCTTCCTTCCTTCCTTCCTTCCTTCCTTCCTTCCTTCCTTCCTTTTACAGGCATGAGCCTTCCTTCCTTCCTTCCTTCCTTCCTTCCTTCCTTCCTTCCTTCCTTCATAGAGAGATGTACTTCCTTCCTTCCTTCCTTCCTTCCTTCCTTCCTTCCTTCCTTCCTTTACTTTGAATACACCTTCCTTCCTTCCTTCCTTCCTTCCTTCCTTCCTTCCTTCCTTCCTTAATTTTTCTTGATCCTTCCTTCCTTCCTTCCTTCCTTCCTTCCTTCCTTCCTTCCTTCCTTCCTTTGGCTGGGGTCTTCCTTCCTTCCTTCCTTCCTTCCTTCCTTCCTTCCTTCCTTCCTTATTAACTTTTTAATCTTCCTTCCTTCCTTCCTTCCTTCCTTCCTTCCTTCCTTCCTTCCTTATACGCAGTCTGCTCTTCCTTCCTTCCTTCCTTCCTTCCTTCCTTCCTTCCTTCCTTCCTTAGTACCTCCAAATTCTTCCTTCCTTCCTTCCTTCCTTCCTTCCTTCCTTCCTTCCTTCCTTGATAGCTAACTTGGCTTCCTTCCTTCCTTCCTTCCTTCCTTCCTTCCTTCCTTCCTTCCTTGCAAGAATGTGTAGCTTCCTTCCTTCCTTCCTTCCTTCCTTCCTTCCTTCCTTCCTTCCTTATGTATCCCAGAACCTTCCTTCCTTCCTTCCTTCCTTCCTTCCTTCCTTCCTTCCTTCCTTAGCCTAAAGCACTACTTCCTTCCTTCCTTCCTTCCTTCCTTCCTTCCTTCCTTCCTTCCTTTACCTGGAGAACAACTTCCTTCCTTCCTTCCTTCCTTCCTTCCTTCCTTCCTTCCTTCCTTCTACATATACTGCTCTTCCTTCCTTCCTTCCTTCCTTCCTTCCTTCCTTCCTTCCTTCCTTCTGGAACATATCTTCTTCCTTCCTTCCTTCCTTCCTTCCTTCCTTCCTTCCTTCCTTCCTTTCACTTCTCATCAACTTCCTTCCTTCCTTCCTTCCTTCCTTCCTTCCTTCCTTCCTTCCTTTTGTTTGTACATTCCTTCCTTCCTTCCTTCCTTCCTTCCTTCCTTCCTTCCTTCCTTCCTTCTCTTCTGGGAATGCTTCCTTCCTTCCTTCCTTCCTTCCTTCCTTCCTTCCTTCCTTCCTTTATAATTTTGTTTTCTTCCTTCCTTCCTTCCTTCCTTCCTTCCTTCCTTCCTTCCTTCCTTTGATTTAACCCTACCTTCCTTCCTTCCTTCCTTCCTTCCTTCCTTCCTTCCTTCCTTCCTTAAGAAAACAGATCGCTTCCTTCCTTCCTTCCTTCCTTCCTTCCTTCCTTCCTTCCTTCCTTTCTGGAGGGGCTGACTTCCTTCCTTCCTTCCTTCCTTCCTTCCTTCCTTCCTTCCTTCCTTCATGCAGTACTCGACTTCCTTCCTTCCTTCCTTCCTTCCTTCCTTCCTTCCTTCCTTCCTTTTGAAAAGTTTTGTCTTCCTTCCTTCCTTCCTTCCTTCCTTCCTTCCTTCCTTCCTTCCTTTCATACTCTTTTTGCTTCCTTCCTTCCTTCCTTCCTTCCTTCCTTCCTTCCTTCCTTCCTTATATTTAAGCATTTCTTCCTTCCTTCCTTCCTTCCTTCCTTCCTTCCTTCCTTCCTTCCTTTATATTTTATATTTCTTCCTTCCTTCCTTCCTTCCTTCCTTCCTTCCTTCCTTCCTTCCTTAAGGAATGGTTCGACTTCCTTCCTTCCTTCCTTCCTTCCTTCCTTCCTTCCTTCCTTCCTTTGGTGGACGAGAATCTTCCTTCCTTCCTTCCTTCCTTCCTTCCTTCCTTCCTTCCTTCCTTATAATGGATTTTTACTTCCTTCCTTCCTTCCTTCCTTCCTTCCTTCCTTCCTTCCTTCCTTTAGGAAAGAATTCACTTCCTTCCTTCCTTCCTTCCTTCCTTCCTTCCTTCCTTCCTTCCTTGATGCTATTTATTTCTTCCTTCCTTCCTTCCTTCCTTCCTTCCTTCCTTCCTTCCTTCCTTCACTGTCACCCAGGCTTCCTTCCTTCCTTCCTTCCTTCCTTCCTTCCTTCCTTCCTTCCTTGGTTCATGCCATTCCTTCCTTCCTTCCTTCCTTCCTTCCTTCCTTCCTTCCTTCCTTCCTTACACCCGGCTAATCCTTCCTTCCTTCCTTCCTTCCTTCCTTCCTTCCTTCCTTCCTTCCTTGTCTTGATCTCCTGCTTCCTTCCTTCCTTCCTTCCTTCCTTCCTTCCTTCCTTCCTTCCTTGCGTGAGCCACCATCTTCCTTCCTTCCTTCCTTCCTTCCTTCCTTCCTTCCTTCCTTCCTTATATATTGAACATCCTTCCTTCCTTCCTTCCTTCCTTCCTTCCTTCCTTCCTTCCTTCCTTTAATTTTGTGCTTCCTTCCTTCCTTCCTTCCTTCCTTCCTTCCTTCCTTCCTTCCTTCCTTTACGCTGTGTCATCCTTCCTTCCTTCCTTCCTTCCTTCCTTCCTTCCTTCCTTCCTTCCTTATGAATGTCAAACCCTTCCTTCCTTCCTTCCTTCCTTCCTTCCTTCCTTCCTTCCTTCCTTAAGTTACAGTTTTGCTTCCTTCCTTCCTTCCTTCCTTCCTTCCTTCCTTCCTTCCTTCCTTTACTAAAATTTTTCCTTCCTTCCTTCCTTCCTTCCTTCCTTCCTTCCTTCCTTCCTTCCTTTTTCAAATGGGAAACTTCCTTCCTTCCTTCCTTCCTTCCTTCCTTCCTTCCTTCCTTCCTTATATTGTGTACTGCCTTCCTTCCTTCCTTCCTTCCTTCCTTCCTTCCTTCCTTCCTTCCTTTCAGATGCATGTCTCTTCCTTCCTTCCTTCCTTCCTTCCTTCCTTCCTTCCTTCCTTCCTTAAATGGGCATGAAACTTCCTTCCTTCCTTCCTTCCTTCCTTCCTTCCTTCCTTCCTTCCTTTAGTGCTCAATAAACTTCCTTCCTTCCTTCCTTCCTTCCTTCCTTCCTTCCTTCCTTCCTTTACAACTAACATTTCTTCCTTCCTTCCTTCCTTCCTTCCTTCCTTCCTTCCTTCCTTCCTTTGATTATAATACTACTTCCTTCCTTCCTTCCTTCCTTCCTTCCTTCCTTCCTTCCTTCCTTTTAGAGAGGTTAAGCTTCCTTCCTTCCTTCCTTCCTTCCTTCCTTCCTTCCTTCCTTCCTTCTGATTACAGAGTTCTTCCTTCCTTCCTTCCTTCCTTCCTTCCTTCCTTCCTTCCTTCCTTTTCCTAACTAACATCTTCCTTCCTTCCTTCCTTCCTTCCTTCCTTCCTTCCTTCCTTCCTTTCAAGTTTCATGTACTTCCTTCCTTCCTTCCTTCCTTCCTTCCTTCCTTCCTTCCTTCCTTAATCTGTGATTACACTTCCTTCCTTCCTTCCTTCCTTCCTTCCTTCCTTCCTTCCTTCCTTTTGTGCAGAAGTAACTTCCTTCCTTCCTTCCTTCCTTCCTTCCTTCCTTCCTTCCTTCCTTAAGGCTAACTATCTCTTCCTTCCTTCCTTCCTTCCTTCCTTCCTTCCTTCCTTCCTTCCTTACGGCAGTTCATTGCTTCCTTCCTTCCTTCCTTCCTTCCTTCCTTCCTTCCTTCCTTCCTTCTGTAGTTGAGTTCCTTCCTTCCTTCCTTCCTTCCTTCCTTCCTTCCTTCCTTCCTTCCTTTATTGTGGTCATGACTTCCTTCCTTCCTTCCTTCCTTCCTTCCTTCCTTCCTTCCTTCCTTATGGACTAACATGCCTTCCTTCCTTCCTTCCTTCCTTCCTTCCTTCCTTCCTTCCTTCCTTTTTTTTCCTCTCACCTTCCTTCCTTCCTTCCTTCCTTCCTTCCTTCCTTCCTTCCTTCCTTCAGGATCAGAATGTCTTCCTTCCTTCCTTCCTTCCTTCCTTCCTTCCTTCCTTCCTTCCTTAGAAATGTGAACTCCTTCCTTCCTTCCTTCCTTCCTTCCTTCCTTCCTTCCTTCCTTCCTTGAAATTTCAAAATGCTTCCTTCCTTCCTTCCTTCCTTCCTTCCTTCCTTCCTTCCTTCCTTGATCCAAACTGGAACTTCCTTCCTTCCTTCCTTCCTTCCTTCCTTCCTTCCTTCCTTCCTTCTGTTACTAAAAATCTTCCTTCCTTCCTTCCTTCCTTCCTTCCTTCCTTCCTTCCTTCCTTTGTTAGAGTAACAACTTCCTTCCTTCCTTCCTTCCTTCCTTCCTTCCTTCCTTCCTTCCTTAAGATAACAAAATCCTTCCTTCCTTCCTTCCTTCCTTCCTTCCTTCCTTCCTTCCTTCCTTATCCCAGCACTTTGCTTCCTTCCTTCCTTCCTTCCTTCCTTCCTTCCTTCCTTCCTTCCTTGGCTAACACGGTGACTTCCTTCCTTCCTTCCTTCCTTCCTTCCTTCCTTCCTTCCTTCCTTCAGGTGCCTGTAGTCTTCCTTCCTTCCTTCCTTCCT